CAGAAACATACAGCACAGGCACGAGGGATTGACTCCAAGGATGCAAGACTGAGTCCATACTTGAAAAATCATTTAATGTACATCAACAGACTAAAGAAAAGCATACGACCGTCTCAATAAACTCAGGAAAAGCATGTGACAGCTTCAGTAAAGAAACTTCAGTAAACAACAAAAAGAAGGGACATTCCACAAATGATAACAGGTATCCGCCAACAAAACCAAATCACTAATGACGTCATCATTAATCCCTTCACCTCTCCCCCCTCCACGCCCAGAGCAGGAACAAGGAAATGGTGCTGGCTTTCAATAGTTATTTTTAGTGTCACTTATTCGTCTGTATTTATTTGAATGGCCTACAAACAGAGCTCTTCCACATGTTGATTTACTTCCCAAATCCCTGTGCCCACAGGGGCGACTGCGTCAGGTCAAGCCCAGGAGCCAGGAACTGCGTGCGGTCAGTGTCTGCCACTGAGCTATTTGAATATTTCCCTCCTCTCAGGTACATCAACAGAAGGAGCATCAGAAATGGAGGCAGGATGCAATGTCAGGCATGTTGATATCCCAAGAGCAGAAGCTTAACACAAGGAAATTAAAGGGGAAAAAAAAAGCATTCAGACTATAAAAACAAAACTAAAACTACCACTATTTATAAATTGCATGTCTTTGCATATGCAAGGAATATTAAGAAGTCCACTTACACTACTCAGAGACTGGCACTGTGGTGCAGCACGTTAAACCACTGCCTGCAATGTGAGGATCCCCTAGAGGAGCACCGGTTCAAGTCCCAGCAACTCCACTCTCAATCCAGCATCCTCCTAACACGCACGGGAAAGCAGATGATAGCCCAAATACGGGGGCCTTGCTGTGTGTGTCGGGTCCAGGGGAAGCACTTGACTTGCCAGCTCTGACACAGCCCAGCCCCAGCCACGCGGCCACTGGAGCATGAATCAATGGACCCAAGACTGCTTTCTCTCTCCCTCTTTGTCACTCTGCCTTTCAGATAAGTTAAATAAATCTTTTTTTTTTTCATAAATGAGCATGGGTGGCATTTTTATTATTATTACCTGAAAGGCAGAGTGACACAGAACAAGGACAAGGCGAGATCCTCCATCTGCTGGTTCACTCCCCAAATGGCCGCAACAGCTGCAGCTGGGCAGGTCGGAAGCCAGGAGTCAGAAGCACTGGGCCATCAGAAGCAGCACAGAATCTGTACACTGCAAACCAGAATGCATTTTGAATGGAAACACATTCCAAGTTTGTAAACTAAATACTTAACATTGTTAAGAGGGCAATACTCCACAAACTGATCTACCAGTTTTTCACAGAAATTCACAAGCTGATTCTAAAATTCAAGTGACAATGCAAGAGCTCCCTAGAATAGCAAAAGTACTTCTGAAAAAAAAAGTTATGAGATTCAATTTCAAATTTTACAACAAAGTTGCAGTAATTATCATGTAACTGGCATGAATCAGACATGTAGATCAACAGAAGTGAACCTCCAGAAGTAATCCCTTATATTTACGGTCAAATAAACCTTCCACAAAGGTACCAAGACAATTCAATGATGAAACAAGTGCATGCAGCAAATAATGCCAAGATGAGCAAAAGAATGACGTCACCTCACACCACGCAACTCAAAAACAGATCGTAGGCATAAAACTGTTGGAAGAAAATCTAGATGTAAGTCTTTGTGATGCTGGGCGAGGCCAATTTCTCAGACATGACCCAAAAGTGCAGCAACAACACAAAACAGATAAGCTGAACTACATCAAAACTTAGAATGCTAGTTCTTCAAAATACACTTCAAAAAAAAAAAAAAAGGCAAGACAACGCAGAGATTGGGGAAAAAATGCAGGCAAATCATTTAGCCAATAAAATACATATAAAGAACTCTTACGACCCAACACTAAAAAGACAAACTACCCAAGTTCAAAATGTACAAAGGATCTGAGGGGATGGTTCACCAAGACACACATGAAAAGATACTCAAAATGAACTGAGCAGGATCTGTCTTGCCTACTGCAAAAACCTACTGTACCAAGCAGTGTCATCTGAATGATTACCACGGCCGGAGCTGCTGGCAGGAAACTCCAGTGCTACAGCCACTTGGGAGAATAACTTGAGAAAACGTCCTTCATAAAACTCCCACCAAAACTTCAAACTGATCTAAGCAGCATCTCTCATAATGCCTACACACACACACACACACACACACACACACCCCAGAAGCAATGGATGATGAATCAGCAAAAAGTGGTATATGAACACAATGAAACATTATTCAATCAATAAAAAGGACCGAAGCTCTGGGAACACGCTTACAAGAATAAACCCTGAAGACAGGCTAAGCAACTGAGGGTTCCAGCAAGTACAGCAAGGCAGGCACAGAAAGAGCAGGGCACAGGTGAGAGAGGAATGTGGGGCCTGGCATCTGTGAGCCAGGAGAGGTTGTTAACAGAGCAGAGCAGTGAGTCTTAGTCAGGACTCACATGCAAAGTAGACTGGGAAGGAGAATGACAGAAGGCCGGATGAGACCTTCACAAGACATGACCAGGAGTTGTTGCTCTAGAACTCTGGGTGAGGGTGTGGGTGTGCCGTCCTAGTCCCAGCTGCTTTGCTTCCAATCCAGCTCCCGGCTCTAGGCCTGGGAAGATGAAGAATGGGAAGTTGGCCCAAATCCTTGGACCCCTTCACCCACAAGGGAGACTGAATGAAGTTCCTGGCAGCTTCGGCTGGATCCAACTGTGGTCACTGCAGCCGTGTGGGAAATGACCCAACAGATGGAAGATCATTCTCTCTCTCTGTTTCTCTCTTTCTCTCTCCCCCAACCCTTTCAAATAAATAAATACATCTCTTAAAAAATAACAACAACACTCCGAGTGGGATGGACAACAGTGAAAAAAATAATCACTAAAGAAACTCAGTGGCATCACAACCTCTGTAACAAATCGCAACACATGACCCAGTCAGCAGATGAGCCTCGAGGTGCAGCACCTCCACCCTCCACCCCCAGGGCTGTCAGCCCAGTGCGAGACCCCCGGGACCCGGCAGAGTGCTCACATTCCTTCCGGCTGCTGAGAACATCAATTTTGGACTGATCTTCCCTGGGACAAGGCTGCTGCCCCCGTATATCCTCCTGCTATTCTCCACACGGCTAACAGCTGGCTCCACAGCTCAGCACTGCGTAGTAACGAAGGCAAGGTCTGCCTGGTCATTCTTGTCGACCCTGTAACGAACCTGGATCAATGTCCTAATCGCAAATTCTCACACGTGCGAAAAAAACAAAACCAAAAACGTGTGAATTTACTAAACTACCTTTTCTGTGCCTCTTTTGGCCCATTCAGGTCCCAACTGCAAGATTTTTTTATTTATCTCGGTTTGCATGCCTTTAAAGTTATAAACTTGCAAAGACAAAACAACAACAGAATATGGTGACTACAATTAGCTGTATTTGCAATTCCTTTGCATCACACTGTCGGTACACCTAATGCAAGTGAAAACTCCAGCATAATCAAGCTTACTCAAGAAACGTGGAATCCACAGCAGCACTCCAGCTTTTTGGCTGACAAACTACAGCCAAGTCATCTCTGCCTTACGCTTCTTCTTCTCAAATCCACCACGCAGGTCCCCACCCCCATGCATGGACCAAGCTCTTGTCCAACTGAAATAATAAATAACAATTAAAAGAACGCATCCTGAGCCCCACACAGTAGCCTAGTGGCTACTTGCACGCTCCAGGATCCCATGAGTGCCGGTTCTAATCCCAGCAGCCCTGCTTCCCATCCAGCTCCCTGCTTGTGGCCTGGGAAAGCAGTCGAGGACGGCCCAAAGCCTTGGGACCCTGCACCTGCATGGGAGACCCGGAAGAGGCTCCTGGCTTTGGCTCAGCTCAGCTCTGGCCATTGCGGCCACTTGGGGAGTGAATCAGCGGATGGAAGATCTTCCTCTCTGCATATCTGACTTTCCAATTAAAAAATAAGTAAATCTTTAAAAAAAATAAAACATCCTTTTCCTGGGGGCTAGATTCCTATGAATTGCACCTTCGGGGCAATCCTATGAAGTTGTTGTTATTTTTCCTGATTTGCACAAGGTGAGTTAAGGCTTTCACTGGTTGCAACATCGCTGGCTTACTGAAGAATGGCTTGAAGAATGGCTTGTTTTATCTCACCTGCGAAAGCCTCAGGATATTACAGCCCTTGGCTGTCCCCAGGCCCTTCCAGTCCGCACAGCCTACTAACCACCTGGGGCTCCTCTACCCTAACAGCTGGTGTCAAGAGCCCTCCCCCTCCGCCCCCCCGTGATTCCCTCATTTTTACGTCCACTTTTATGACCACAGGTATTCAATAAATGCACGGCCAAACCCGATGACCAGTCCTTTGGGTCAAACCGGGCAAACTACCAGTGTGTGCACGCTCCAGGAACCCAACACTGCAAGGGGAAGCACCCAGGCTGTCTTCCCTAGCACTCAGTCCGAATCTTGTGTTTATTGACTTGCTATATACCTGCCTCTTCCCACTACGGGTGACTCAAGGGCAAGTGCAACATCATCTTCGTACTGGACAGACACCAAGTGTTCAAAATCATTCGGGAATCCCACAGTTGCAACTTTCTCAGCCAAAAGCGGACAGGGGGAGCTGGGACCCTAAAACCCTAATATCCCCACGGCAGCCTGCTCCAACTCCACCTGGACCCTCTGAGGTGACAGAAAGGCGTTACACAAGAACTAAACCTGGAAGCAGAAGGCTCGACCACAGGCAGTGACCTTGGCCCGTCAGGAGCGGAGGGCGCACGCTGCATCGCAGCCTCTGGCGCCGAAGCCGGCCAAGTTTAGAGGGAAGCCGCTCTGCACCAGGACACGCTTAGGTCTTCCCAGACCCGAATTGGCGCAAAAAACCCATCGCCCACAGTGGCCGGCGGTGGGGGCGGGGAGGGGCCCGGCCGGACGGCGCGTGCAGGCGCAGGGCCGAGCCATCCGCGCCCTGCACCCGCGCCCCTCTCACCTCGACTCTCCTCCTCCAGGTGCCGCACCCGCAGCTCGTCCTCCGTCTTCACCTCAGAGTTGTAGCCCCTCCTCGGGGCGGCACCCCGGGGTGCAGGTGACCACAGCGCAGAGCCCCCGAGCCGGCGCGCCCAGGAGCCAGGCAGCCTCAGCCCGGGGCCGAGCTGCGCGCAGCCCGCGGCCACCCAGCGGCTGCGGCCCGCCTGCAGAGCGCCCAGAGCCCCCGGGCCCGCCGCCACCGCCGCCGCCATGTTGCGTGTTGACGGCGTGGGCCTGCGGCTGCCCTCCGCCCCCGGCCGGCGCCAACACGCGTGCGCGCACGGCGCCCCGCCCCGCGGCCACGCCCCCGCGGCCACGCCCCCGCAGGCAGGCTCTCCAGCGCTGTGCAGCACCGCCCTGGTTGGTGGTCGGTGGGTGCACCTGTCCCCTGGAGCCGTCTGAGCTGATGTGCCCGGTGCACACGGGGAAGGAGTTCTCAAGGCTTTGGGATTCAACGGAATGTATTTCGTAAAAGCATCCCAACCAGGGCTCGGCGCAATAGCATAGTGGCTAAAGTCCTCACCTTGCACGCTCCAGGATCCCATATGGGCGCTGGTTCTAATCCCTGCAGCACCACTTCCCATCAAGCTCCCTGCCTGTGACCTGGGAAAGCAGCGGAGGACGGCCCAAAGCCTTGGGACCCTGCACCCATGCGGGAGACCTGGAAGAAGCTCCTGGCTCCTGGCCTCAGATTGGCTCAGCTCCGGCCGTTGCGCCACTTAGGGAGTGAATCGTCGGATGGAAGATCGTCCTCTCTGCCTCTCTTCCCCTCTGTATATCTGACTTTCCAATAAAAATAAACATATCTTTAAAAAAAAAAATCTCAACCTCCTTCCTTGGGCTGTACACCTGGGGTCTCTGCACTAATGGCTAAGGGACTTGAAATGTTTTGTCTACTGGTTTGGTTGCAAGTGTGGCAATCAGGTGTGGGACTCTGCTTTATTTCCTTATCTTAGAGCCTTGGCCAGGCCTGGCCAGAAAAAGCTATGGCCACCTTCCTGTGGGTGAGGGGACCCTCCAAGACATCAGAGTCTTGATCAGGACTGTCATCTCACAGGAAGGGTTCAGCCAAACCATTGGCTGAGGCGGAGATTCAAACAGGTGGCTCTTGCAGGAACTCGGTGTACTGTGCACAGTGTGCAGCACTGAGGCCAGGCCAACTGGCTTTGGCCGGCTCTCCCATGGGAAATTCTGTATTTAGAAAGAACGTTTGGAAATTGTGCTGCTGTGAATCCTCTTGCCAGTGGCCTGTCTTTTTAAAATGTAAGCACAATTTCTCTCCATGTTATGTCTTCAGTGTGTGTTTTTTTTTTCAGAGATGTGTTTTATTTATTTAAAAGGCAGAGTTACATAGAAGGATTCATAGAGAACTCTTCCATCTGCGAGTTCACTTCGTAGGTGGCTGCAGGGCTGGGCTGACTGGAAGCCAAGAGCTGCAGCTTCTTGCAGGTCTCCTGTGAGTGCAGGAGCCCAAGCACATGGTCCATCCTCTGCTGCTTCCTCGGGCACATTACCAGGAAGCTGGATGGCAAGCAGAGCAGCCAGGATGCGTAGGACTGTTGATACCACAAGCAGCAACCTTACCCACTGCGCCACAACACCTGCTCCCAGCCTCAGCTCCTGCTCAAAAACGTCACACACAAAAAGAGCCATAGGATTCCTCTTGCCAGGTCAGCTTGTAGCAACTCCTTGAAGGCACTTGTCATCTTTGGAAAAACGTCCAGTTGGAAGTGTTCCAACATTCAGGAAAGGGAAATATTGACTGCTTTATATCCTTGCTCTCCTCTAGTGGCGGTCTTCCACTGACTGCCAGGCATGCATTGCATTCATTCTTACACTTTCTTCCCAGTTTGGTCTTGAGCTCTCTCTTACGGTGGGTACAAAGTCTGACGGTAATGGAGTGCTCACACAGCAGCTGGGGCTGGGGCTATAGTCTTACCTGGGACCCCAGTGTTTCCTAACCAGTTTCCCGTTGAGGTGAGGGTTGGGTCCCATGGGCACGTTTAGAGAAAGTATCACCCAATCTCTTGAAGGTGGTTCCTGAGGCATTTCCTGTCCACATCAGGGATGACAAGTCAAGGAGATGGTACCCAGCTCTCCCCACTGGGAGATGGTCACTAGGAGGTCATTGTATGAAACAGAGATCAATATGGACGACATGAAGGGGGAGAGGGAGAATTAGAAGCTGCCAGCTCTGACTTAGACTTGCTTCTAGTATACAAGTTATTCTACATGGATGCAGCATAAAATTATGAGAAATTGTTATGCTAGGAAAACTGTGAATTCTCTTTACAGCTCAGCCACTGCAAGAATCGCAGTCATTTGATGACTGATGTTTAATTGGTTTTGACACCTTGATGTCATTTCTATTGGTCTCTAGTGTTTTGACATCTTGATTTTAATGAATAGACTGTAAATTTTAAGATGGGAGTTTCATAGAACACCCTACACAGTGCCACTTAAACTGATACAGTCTTACACACTTGACTGATTAGAACAACTGTAGAGAGATCATAGCTTGCATGAATTATACAAAATTACAAAGTCAGATGGCAAGACTGCCCACTGAAAGCATGGACATGTTTCTTGGTGGAATAATGCAAGGGGGGACTGTCCCCTTTCCTAACATTTGTTACTGTCATCTTTGTCTGGAACAATCATACAGATATCCAAGGTCTGTAATAGAAATTGACTTTTAACAGTCAGCACAGAAGAGCCCGACGTGGTAGCCTAGTGGCTAAAGTCCCTGCCTTGCACGCGCCGGAATCCTACATAAGCACTGATTCTAATTCCAGCTGCTCCATTTTCCATCCAACTTCCTGCTTGTGGTTTGGGAAGGCAGTGGAAGACGACCCAAAGCCTTGGATCCCTTCACCCGCATGGGAGACCTGAAGAAGCTCCTGGTTCCTGGCTTCGCTTCAGATGGCACAGCTTTAGTCATTGCAGCCACTTGGGAAGTCAACCAGCAGACAAAATATATTCCTCTCTGTTTCTTTCTCTCTCTCTCTGTATATCTGTCTTTTCAATAAAAGTCTTAAAAAAAAAAGTTAGCACAGGAGTGGGTGTTTGGCACAGTGCCTGGGTGCTAGGTTACAACTTGGGTTGCCCATATCTCAAGCTTGAGTTCCTGGTTTCAGTTCAGCATCCCCTGCTTCCAAGCCAGGTTCCTGCTGATGAGCGTTTGGGAGCCGGCAGGTGGTAACTCAAAGGCTTGAGCTCCGGCAGCACACGTGGGAGACTTGCCTTTGCCCTCACTGCTACAGGCAAATGGGGTGTGAGTCAGCGGACGGAAAAATCTCAACATATTCCCTCCTCTCTCTATATATATATATATTCTTCTCTCCTCTCTCTCACTTCCCTTCCTTCTTTCTCCATTTCAAATAAAATGAAAATAAAGAAAGATTAAAACACAATTCCACTGCACGAGACCTGTATTTCACAGCTGAAATGAAAGTGTTACCATGCACACCTGAACAGAAACTGTTACCAAGGACACCAGTAGTCTAACAAGCCCAGAGAATGGGGGGCAGACTTGGGACTTTCAGTGAGTATATGTTTTACAACTCTTCTATGTGAAACCGAGAAAGTACTATACTCGTTGACACAGAGGCTGGGCCACTGTATTAAAGGCACCTGTGAATGTGACAGCTTGATTAGGAGGCAGTGTTAAGAGTACAGGGGGAGTAGGATGGCTCTGCCATGCTCCAACACGTGGCTTACATCTCTTGCTCTAAGAGATACCACCAGCAAGACAGGGGAAAAGGGTAAGCACACTGATTCTTTTACCCATGGCTTCGCTTTCCACCATGTTATCTCTCTGCAGTCAACACCTGTCCAAGAATACTAATGAAATAGACATTTCAGATTACAGCAATTACATGTTGTGAAGAATGCAAAGCTTGACTCAAATTTTGGCCAGAAATGACAGTGTGTGACACAAGTCGGGAATAACCAGGTAGAGCATTCTTCCTCAATTTGTAGTGACCGATCCTGCTGCCCTCTGCTCTCCACCCATGGCACCCGCCCAGCCCCAGACCTGCAGCAGTCTCTCTACCTGAAGGCAGTGCCACCAGCCTATCCTTGTGCTGACAAGGGCCCTGTCCCTCAGATAAAAAAGGTTCACGTCACCAAAAAGCCACGAGTCCCTAAGCAAATCCTCAACACGTTTGAAGCTCATCCCCCACTCCTTGATTCTAGCACTCGTTTTCCCTGGACGTAAAATTGTTTCGTTGAGTCTTTGTCAAACGTAGGCAAGACACGTGGATTGCTGAAGCCCTGTGAGTGGCGTGCTTCCTTTTGCTCAAATAAGAGACAGTGACTAATCAACTGATCATCTGTGCTTTCAGCAGAGACAGCAAAGACGACTATGAGTGGGCCTCTTTGATTCACAACTCTCGGATTTCAAATCTTTCCTCTCCCTGCAAAATAGCCAAGTAGATTCCATGCCACAAGCCTTTGCGGTGCTGTTCCTTTTGGACTTTCATATCAGGGCCATAATTGGTTCTTTTTTTTTTTAAAGATTTTATTTTTATTGGAAAGGCAGATATACAGAGAGGAGAGACAGAGAGGAAGATCTTCCATCCGATGATTCACTCCCCAAGTGAGCACAACGGTCGATGCTATGCTGATGCGAAGCCAGGAGCCTCTTCTGGGTCTCCCGCGCTGGTGCAGGGTCCCAAAGCTTTGGGCAGTCTCTTTCCCAGGCCACAGGCAGGGAGCTGGAAGGGAAGCGGGGCTGCCGGGATTAGAACCGGCGCCCATATGGGATCCTGGGCGTGCAAGGCGAGGACCTTAACCACTGCGCCACCGCGCCGGGCCCCATAATTGGTTCTTAGAATGTTTTTTTTTTTTTTTCCCCATTGGTGCCATGGAGAGAAAAAAAAGTCACTCCAGTGTTCACGATAAGCCTTGCGAAGAGGCTCCAAGAGCAGCGACACTCAGCACAGGGTGCAGCGCTGATCCTGCATGTACGTGTGGGACCAGCCAGGTGGCTCTCAGGGTCAAGTGGGCCAGGTCCCAGAGTATCACCAGCAGACGTGCCCACAATCAGATGCTTTCAAATCACATTTGCGTTTGTTATTTTCATTCTATCTGTACCAGCTGACGAAAGAGTGATCCAGCTAAATAGAGATTTGGAGTACAAATATCATGCTGAATATGCAGATTTCTTTACTTGTGCCCTCATGAGATTATGTGAGTTCCTGAAAAGAAA